GATCCAACGTTCAATTCAATTCCTTTACAAATTGCAAATGACCCCCGGTACATGCCATTTTTTAAGGTCTGTCTTTTACCATTACACTCATCCTTCTACTTTTATTATATTTCAGCTTATAAAAAATTATATTTGTAATTCCAGGATTGCATTGGAGCTATTGATGGAACACACGTCGATGCACGATTAAATAGTGAAGAAAGAGTTGCGTACATAGGCCGATGCGGCGCCCCAACACAAAATGTTATGGCCGTATGTGATTTTAATATGTGCTTTACCTTTGTCATGGCTGGATGGGAAGGAAGCGCTCACGATAGTCGTGTTTTCAAGTTCGCTACCAGAAACTTGAGACATGGATTTCCATACCCACCTACGGGTAAATACTATTTGGTTGATGCTGCATATCCGTTACAAAGGGGATATCTGAAGCCCTATCCAGATACGAAGTACCACATTCCTGATTTTGAAAGATCTAGTGGTGTCACATGAGGCAAAAAAGAAGTTTTTAACAAAAGACACTCTTCATTGCGTGGGGTAATTGAAAGAGCGTTCGGAGTGTGGAAGAAGAAGTGGGTCATATTACGGGATATGCCGTCCTACCCTTTTCCAAAACAAGTACAAATAGTTGTTGGTACCATGGCGCTACACAATTTCATCCGACGCCACCCTTCCAGATCGGATGCGGAGTTTGCCATTTTAGAAGATGATTCAGTGGAAATCCCACATGAAGCTTTTGAATATCACTTGGGACGTCCGATGCCTGAAGAGTTTGCTTCAGAAGATGCATGCACTCGAGAGGGTGAAGGTGCATCAGAGATGACAAGTTTACGAGAACAAATAGCAGATGATATCCTCCTGTCATGATAATTTTTTTTCCTATCATGTTGAATTAGCTTAATAGACATGTACCAGTTACTGCGTATTATTTGTACGAGACTCTCACTAATTTGGGATGTTTAGTCTTTGTTTCTGCATTAATAAGGCGTGTCTATTATTCGAATTTATGACATTTATATGTGACTGGAATAATCTTACAATGTGAATTTGGCCATTTCGAAGATGATGATAATGTTAGAACATATGCAAATGCTCGTAAGGCATTTCATATGGTGAATCTGAAAAGCGACTGCGCAGTTGCCTTTGTTGATGAAATGCCAGAATTTGTTAAGAAGCCCGGGAATCAACTCAAAGTGAAGCTTTTTGATGGTTTTGCTTTAGAAAAAAGCATTGCTGGGCTCCTTCCCCACCCCTTCTCTGACAATGCTCGTGATGAGTATTGCAAGTTCATTTTTTTATTTCTACATTTGCTGTTGAAGGCAACATTTTAAGTAATATTTACATTTTGAGTTATTGGATCTTCAGGAGGGAATTTATTGCTCCAATGGAATTTTGTTTATTTTATCGTTCAAGATTTACACAGGCAGAATCATTTATCAGATATCATGGCATTCCTTCCATTTCTTTTTAAGAATGAGTCGGGTGAGGGCTGTTGTAAATATTGTTTCATTTGTTTTTAAATGGTTGCTGTTTTGGGCCAGCAACCATTTAATAGAAAAATAGAGTGGGATTTACTGATGTTAACTAGAAAAATAGAGTGGGATTTATATACATACCACACAATTCTTATGTATTTACATATCTTTAAACTTAATATTTTCTTATATAACATTTAAACCTTTAACATCACATAAAAATTGACAATGATGTTAATTTTTTAAAGGGAACTTAATATTTACTGTTCCTCACGAAAGAAGAAAGGGCTGAACAACATAACTGATGTACTATAGACATCGTTTTCTTTCAATCTCTTTGTAGAGAAAGGGACTGCTGTCCTATAGAAAGAAAGGGTAGATTGCACTTGAATTTTATGACCCCTTTATCAGCTAATTTTATGGTATATATTTATCTCAAGTCTCTTTTTCATCTTGTATTTTTTGCTCGTATGAATTCGAGTATAACTTTATATATGGGCTTCAGCTGGTTGGTGATGGGGTCATTTGGAAACTTTCTTCTTCATATGTTGCTCTTGGCATTTTTTATCCATTCAGGGTGAATACTTCACCTTGTGTTTTTCAAAATCTGAGGATTTATATTGTGTATCTTACAGTTTTCACAAAATATAATGGGGCATTTACATACGTATGCCTTCCTGTTCCTATGATCAAATTTTTGAATGCTTGGGATCTATTTTGTGATTGGAATGCATGAGAATATTTTCAATTCCTGTGATTTGTAGAGAATATTTTCATTTCCTATTCAAATCCTATTCACTGTTGCAGGAAAATATAATGGGGGATTTACATCCATACCACTATCCAGTTACAATTTGAATTACTATGCTCTTTAGTTAGAAAATATATAATGGGGCATTTACATAACGCAATTCTTTGAAAAAGCTCTTTATCTTTTTTCGTGTTCAATGGATTTAAAATCCTGATTTATCGTTATACAGTTACTCAGTTACAATTATTCAAGGCATTCTTACGCTGAGATTGCCAATCCTTCATCTTTTTTCTAATCCATTTTGGTTAGTCGGAATTCAAACCTAGTTTTCAAAGCTAGAGAATGAAATCAAGTAACTGCACCTCTATAGCTATCACAGCAATTGGATATGATCCGAACTTCATATTCACATTTTTTTTATGATTGGATACATGGAAGTTCCTACATAGCTTGGATTCATGGTTCATGGAAGTTGTTATATGGCTGCGCTCATTTGTAGATAATCTTAAGCAGTGACTATGTGGTTAGCAGCATATAAAATGCTTTGGAATGCAGCTTTAGTTTTCCCAAATTTATACATAGCATCCAAACCTTATTTTTTACATTTATTCCATTCAAATCTTTCAAATCACATTTTGGATCCACCCATTGTACCTAAGCAGATTGGAAGTCGGGTGCAACTGCTGTTTTTGAGTGGGCAGTTTGGACGGCCACGTAAATTTGTTGTCAGCAATCTCTGGATCTACACTTTGGTAAGTTTACTTTTTACATTTCCTTATTTTTTGGACTGATCGATTCTATTTTTTAAAATGCAGAAGAATGAGTTCCAGACACTACGGGAAGGTCGAGAAAGTGATGTGTCATTGCGGACTACCGTCGTTGCTGTTAACGTCACGCCAGGCACGTAGCTACGGGAGGCAATTTTACAGGTGCCCGCGTTGGGGACAAGGACCTGAAGACTGTAAATTCTTTAGGTGGACGGACAATACAACTGTCTCTACAATATCCCAATTGGACACAGGTACTAGGAGTTCGAGAGTACCACAACAGGAGACCACCGCATATGGTTCGAGTTCTTCCGTGTATACCGCACCCCATCAAGACACGCTTGCTCGGGGATTAGAGGTATCAGAAACGGGCAACATTCGTCATGATGTGACTTTACATGTTAAACTCAATATTGTCATATTTTTCCTTGTAATTTTAACGTGTTATTTCTTCTTTTTTTTGGGGTCTTTCTATAATCCATATTAGAGATCCAGAAATGTGTATTGAACTTTCCTTTATATCACTATGTTTTGTTGATGTAATCACAACAACTTTTTTTGCAATTTCATTTCTACACATTTGAGAAAATAACATTCTGCACACAGATTATTCATTCAACTCAAAAAATTTACAAATAAGTTGTTTACAAAACGCACAAACCAAACAGCTGAACTGCTTATTCAGACCAGGGGCAAAAGGGTCAATTTTTCACAATCAGCTGTTTTCCAAACGCGTTAACCAAACAGTCAGACAGCTTATCCGGATCAGCTGGTCATCAGCAGATTATCAGGATAAGCTGCTTATCAGCAGAAGCTGGATAAGCTGCAGCTGCCCCAAACAGACCCATAGACTAGCATAATATAAGAAAATTTTATTTGATGGGCATAAGATAGGACCACTTACACGAAGGGAAATTAAATTTAACTATTTTATTTTTGTGTAAATTATTTTGGAGAGCAACACTTTGCTATTTATGTACATTATTCGTGGTGGTGTTCATGAAGTCATTATCCATTACGATCGTATGTTTTAATATTAACACGGACCTAAGCCTCTTGAATCAAGTCTTTTATTTTTGTTTTAAATCATATCATTGTGTTTACTACATCTTGAAAAATTATTGACCACTATATAGTTTAGATTATGTTCTTGATTATGATAAAGGTGGTAGAACTAAGCATGTATCCTAAGAGATAAAGTGAGAGTCAAATGAAAAGAGTGAGGAGATTAAAAAATTCACAAGTTAGAAGATCATAAAATGCACAACTTACAATTGTAATAAAAAAGATATGCACATAAGAGAATAATGAGACATGTAGAAGATGCTGAGAGGAAGGAGGGGGGAATAGCATCATAATCAAAATAAAAAAGATAACAATATTTTTTAGTTAAAAGGATTGTGTAATCGTCCAAGTCAAAACAATAACCTTGTAGAAAAATGGCAAGGAAAAACATCAATAGTTGTATACATACATCATAATGAAGTAGAAACCGACAGTTGAACTAATGGACTCAACATACGTCGGCATAAATGCTCTATTTTCTGATGGTCTAGCGATGATTTATGATCAGGGTTAAATGCGGCGGCATAACTATAGGACACATCTTCGCTTATCAAGAGTAAAATTTTTTTCGTTGTTTTTAATTATTACCGACGCATTAAATTGTCGGTTATAAGCAAATTATTTACTGCGATCATATTTCGTCGATTATCTTCGAACCCACCATCTGGCGGCGCGGTTTTTTAATAAGTGACGAGCATTTTTGTCAGTAATTGTGTTGATAACCGATGGATTTAAAGTCGTCTATAAGTCAATGGAAATAATCATTTGTACCGCCAAAATCACGTTCCTCCTGGTCTTGCGCTAATCCTTCTCCCTCTACCCGAAGCCATTGCTTACATGTTCCTTTTCCCGAAACCCTCGCATGTCCCTCCAACCCCTCTTTGTTTCATCCAAAACCATTGCTTTCGTTGTCGATCCCTCGCGGTACAATCGCAATAAGAGCTAGCTGAGAACACAACAACTGGATTGTGGCTTACAGTGACCAAAAACTCTCATTTTTCTCGTCCTTCTACTCCTCTCCTACCCAAAATAATTGATGAAGGAAACTTCTCATTTTCTTTTCTATTTTCATTTATTTTGAAGAATGCATTTAGGGTTTAGGGTGTAGCATCAACAAGGAGGATTGACCTAATATTTTTTTTATTTCAATTGGATTACATCAGGTATCGGCTTTAAGCCCATATGTTTTTATTTTAGTTATGAATGCTTTTATTAGACATTTACAAGAGGATGTAACTTGGTGTATGCTTTTTGTCGGTGATATCCTTCATGTGGATAAGACTAGAAAATGAGTTTAGCAAAACTTAAATTACGGAGGTCGAGATTTGCATTTAGAGACCTTTGTTTGAGCAGATGTAGAACTAAATACATGAAGTGTAATTTTAGTAATAGTATCTCTAATGGCAGAGTTGTAACTACAGGTGATCAAATCATTAAAAGGTGTGAAAGTTTTAGATATCTTGGGTCTCTTGTTCAAAGTGATGGTGATATATAAGAGGATGTGATTAGTAGATTTCAAGTTGGTTGGTTGAAGTTGAGAAGTGCATCCAGCCTATTGTGTAATAGAAAATATCACTTAAACTTAAAGGGAAATTATGGTCATGAGACTTGCAATGTTCTACGGTGCAGAATGTTGGCCTTTAGAAGAGAAGCATAAAACAAATTCAAGTGTTGCTGAGATGAGAATGCTTAGATGGATGAGTGGCTTGTGTAATAGAAAATATCACTTAAACTTAAAGGGAAATTATGGTCATGAGACTTGCAATGTTCTACGGTGCAGAATGTTGGCCTTTAGAAGAGAAGCATAAAACAAATTCAAGTGTTGCTGAGATGAGAATGCTTAGATGGATGAGTGGCTTTTGTA